AATATAGGATCGCTATGTCTCGCTTATGCGACAAAAGTCGCAGGCTCGACAAAAAGCGGAAACGAAAAAATAAACAAGAGGCTCAAACGAACTTGTATCGCTCACCTGGGCAATTTTGCCAACACTAAAATTTAATGATTGATTGATGGTGTTAAACACTACTATTAGCACTACTGGCTTTATTGTGGCAGTCAGTTTTCATTAGTGGAGGGAGCCTGAGTGCGCTGAGAGAACCACGACATACGGCAGGTCAATCAAGATTGGAATCAAACGCACCTCACAAGCCCACTGTTGGATGCTATGCAACAAGATTATTTGATGAAAATAGGAGGTAGGTAGATATTGACAATCAGAGCATTTTGCTCGTTTTCAATCTATTTCAAGATATAAGACAATAATGCATTTTACCCTTATGTTCTATTTTTAGCTATGACAGCCATGTTTTGTCTTTTAAGGCTATAACTCCTTAGGAAGTCATCCAATTGTTTAGGTTGTATAGATCTTGCATTTCTGATTTTTTTTGCTGTTTACAGTTTATACTTCTCTATTATAGTTTTCAAATTAATTGACAAAAGCAATAAAATTAGTAAACAATTGTCATTTAAGGTCAATAACTCCTACGGTCCATTGTTTTTGGTCATATTGACATATTTTGTAAATGGTGTATTGCTGATCCTTTTTGCTGAAAACAGTTTTTAACTATCTCTTAAGTTTTTGAGATGAGACACAAAAATGAAAACAAGCATTTTGAGAGTATTGCCGGTTAAAAATTCATTGTACTGGAACAAAATGCTAACTTGATCTATAACTTGTCATGTTGTAAACTATATAACAAATATCAAATCAATATATTCAAGCATGACAGAAAAAAGTGTGGAAAACTGATTATTTGCGCAAATTTTTGTAAGTCCAAGGATCATAAAACTGCATACTAATAATCCGAAACAGACAAAATTCGATCTTGATCTGTAACTTGTCATGGTAAAACTATATACCAATATCAAATCAATACCTTCAAGCATAATAAAAAAACTTTGGAGATATGATTATTTGCATGAATTTTCTAAGCCCAAGAACCAAAACTCTGCACAAAATCATCAGACAGGAACAAAATCTAAACTAGATCTGTAATTTGTCATGGTAAAACTATAATCCAAATATCAATCAATATATCTAAGCAAGATAAAAAAAAAATGCGAAAAACCTGATTACTTGCCTGAATTTTCTATGCCAAAGGACCATAACTCTGCACAAAATCATCAGACCGGAACAAAATCCAAACTAGATCTGTAATTTGTCATGGTTTAACTATATACCAAATATCAAATCAATATCTTCAAGCATGACAAAAAAAGTGTGGAAAACTGATTACTTGCGTGAATTTTAGAAGTCCAAGGACCTGCCATGTGAGGGGGATCAAACTCACAATTTGAGTGTTAAAAGACTAGTGATACAGAAGTTTACAAGGTGAAAGGATATTTGCTAAAGGAGGGCAAAGTTGTATGTAGGCCAAGCTAAAAATACAATACAGTTATCTCCATTTTTATGCATTCCATATAAAATTAACAATGCACTTAAATATCGACATACTGTCAGTGTAAGAATCTCATCAATTGAAATTCCAAAAACTTGCTCTCGTCTCGTTCACTCTTGAATGAAATAGAAGACATCTGCTAACCTTGTTGATTATTGAAAAAAATCACACAACAATAAATTCCTCAATTGAAAAATGTCAGCTTAGTTAAAGGCCGGTAAAAAGTGGAATTTAGCGCCTCAAATATATGATGTTGTCCAATCAAAATCGTGATGATAAATAAATTGCATTAGAATTTTAATTTGTGTGTTCAAGACTTAAAGAATGTTTATTTTTTTAAGATTTCTCTTCTGAAGTATCTTGGTTTTGCAGCCTTTGATTTTTTAGTTTTATATTTCTTTATATTTTGTAACTTATTTTCTACTTATTTCATTCTAAGTGAAAGTATTTGTAATTCAACACTATATATACCTGTAAGTATTCCATCACTTCCTTATACTGTTGATCTGCTGCTAGATCGTAAGGAGTCTGACCCTGAAATACAGATAAATCTTTATATTGCTTTCATCTGTTAACTACAAAGAAGACTTTTTAACACAGATCTTACAATAAGTAAGACCAGTAGCAGCTAAGTGGTGTTTTATTTTAACTTTACAGATGCTAACCATATCATTTTTGATTTTTGTTCATTAAATATAACTCATGAGACAACATTCAGATTATTTTTAACAATTTTCTGAATTCTATAAATTGGCTTTCAGCTCTTTCTTTTAAAGCATATGAATAAAAGCTCCATTTGTCAGCATTTGATCTTTGTAATTTCTTTGCAGTTTGAAGATTACATCCTTATGTCTACACGAGGGTGTGGGATTTCCGAGAGGTCTACATTTTTAACTTCTTGTGTTTATTTTTTGGACACATTATTCAAAGTTCTTTATATATTAACACCCCATTATTCTCTATTTTTTATATTTTTGCACCAAATTATTTTCTATTCATTATTTTTTTTTGCCCATTTCTCTCCATTTCTAATGTTTTTTTTTCATTCATGATTTTCTAATCTGCTTACCCCTTCCACACCCTCTTATATCTGTATACCCTATTCATACCCTCCTATATCTGTATACCCCAACCACACCCTCCTATATCTGTATACTCCATCCACACCCTCCTATATCTATATACCCTTTCAACAACCTCCTATATCTGTAAACCCCATCCACACCCTCCTATATCTGTATCCCCCATCCACACTTTCCTATATCTATATAGCCTTTCCACAACCTTCTATATCTGTATATTCAACCCACACCCTCCTGTATCTGCATGCCCCATTCACGCCCTCCCATATCTGCATGTATACCCCATCCACACCCTCCTATATCTGTATACCCCGTCCACACCCTCCTTATATCTGTATACCCCATCCACACCTCCTATATCTGTGTTCCCCTTCCACACCCTCCTATATCTGTATACCCAATCCATACCCTCCTATATCTGTATACCCCAACCACACCCTCTTATATCTGTATAATCACACCCCACTCTCCTATATCTGTTGTGTTTCTAAATTTGAGGCGCATTAGGCGTATTGACCTAACTGTATACACCCTCCTATATCTGTATAAACAGGGATCCTTTAAACACACTCCTATGCCTGTATATCCCATCGACAGCCTCCTATATCTGTATACCCCATCCACATCCTCCTATATCTGTATACCCAATCCACACCCTACTATATCTGTATACCCTGTCCACACCCTCCAATATCTGTATACCCCATCCACACCTTCCTATAACTGTATACCCCCTCCACGTCCTATATCTGTATATCCCGTCCACATCCTCCTATATGTGTATAACCAATCCACACCCTCCTATATCTTTGTACCCCATTCACACCTTTCTATATCTATTTTCCGCATTCACACCCTCCCATATCTGTTAACCACTTCTACACCCTCCTATATCTGTATACACCATCCACACCCTCCTATACCTGTATACCCTATCCACACCCTTCTATATTTGTATACCCCATCTATATCCTCCTACATCTGTATAACCCATTCATACCCTCCTATATCAGTATACCACCTCTACACCCTCCTATATCTGCATACCTCCTACACACCCTCCTATATCTGTATACTCTATCAACACCCTCCTATATCTTTTTACCCCATCCACATCCTCCTATATATGTATACCCCATCCACATCCTCCTATATATGTATATCCCATCCACACTCTCCTATATCTGTCTACCCCATCCACACCCTCCTGTATTTGTATACCCCATCCAAACCATCCTATATCTGTATAACCCATCCACACCCTCCTATATCTGTATACCCCATCCACATCCTCCTTTATCTGTATACCCCATCCACACCCTACTATATCTGTATACCCTGTCCACACCCTCCTATATCTGTATACCCTGTCCACACCCTCCTATATCTGTATACCCCATCCACACCCTCCTATATCTATATACCCCATTCACACCCTCCTATATCTGTATACCACCTTTACACCCTCTTATACCTGTATACCCCATCCACACCCTCCTATATCTGTATACCCCATCCACATCCTCCTATATCTGTATACCCCATTCACACCCCCCCCCCTATATCTGTATACCACCTCTCCACACTCCTATATCTGTATACCACATTCACACCCTCCTATACCTGTATACCTTATCCACACCCTCCTATATTTGTATACCCCATCTTTACCCTTCTATATCTGTATATTTTTATTTTACAGCATCTCATAGTTTTTAGTGTTATCACTGGTATTGTTCAAATAAGGAAATAAATAAATTATGACAAGATGACATTTATCTCTGCCACTAGACAGTTTGAAGAAATTTGCAGTCTCCATAGGATCATCTCTTTCAAATTATTGCATTAGATATTTTCAAACTGCCAACAATATGAAATGATTAAGCAATTTTTATTTTCCCCTTATTGAAACCATATAAATATTGTCTAGTAGTGTTTATTTCTGTTTATAAAATATGTTTCACCCAACATAAAGATTATCTGTCATTGCCCACCTTGCATCTGTTTAAATATAAAATCATGATGAACGTATGTCAATGCATTGCTTAGAATATTTTGATACCATTTAATAACTTTGTAATAATTGTCATGACAACCGACTGGCGTAAGTTTTGTTTGACAATTTGTTTGTTTGTTTTACAGCAAACTTGTGCGATAGTCTATGTTCATGTGTTTTATAGTAAAATTTAGCCATTCAAGTCTTTAAAACATTTTCATATCTTAAAAGTTCAATTTAAAGGATCATATGACTTTTAACTATAGCCCTTAAAAAAGAATCCATTTGACCAACCATACATCATTTTAGTGATTCATCACTTTATAGTTGAACACTGGGTATATACTATAAAATATTACCTCAAGTGTTGTAACCAAGGGACTGATACCTCCTTGTTCTACCAGACATCTTGTGATCTGTAGATGTCCCCACTCAGCAGCATAATGTAAAGCTGTGTATCCATTGATCTATAATATAACCAAATAACATGTAATTATTATGGACAATACTTTGTAATTAATATCAATAATATACAACATATCCTAAAACTGACATCAAGACTTGTCTGATAAACTGGACAATACTGTGTAATAAATATAAACAAAATATATATCACATGAATCAGTGGTTAAAACTGAATAAAATGACCAGTCACACTTGTATTTATATTGTACATAAACAACAAATAAACAACATGTTTTTTTTAGATGTCAGAACTTCCATCAGAACTGTCATGTTAAAAAAAATATTTTTTGGAAGAAATGATTAAAATTTTAACATCAATGGATTCATAACAACTCTCAGAGTAAAATGACATATCACTTGATATAATTCTAACAAGTATTTGTTGATATAATAATTTAATCTGTCTGATTAACATGATTCAGAATAATGATCAATTTTTTTAAAAAGTAACCTTTTCAAAGAAATATGAAAAAAAGTTGCATTTCCTGATTTAGTACGAGGAGACAAACAAAATGAGACCCCACTTTATATAATTCTGACAAATATTTGTTGTCCATTAAACCTGTCTAATTAACAACATAGTTTTGTGTTGATTTAGGAATGTGATCAGAGTGAAGTGATAACATACTATATCTGTGATATCTGTGTTACACCGGCTGTCCAGGAGTAATCGAGTAGTCTCCAGATGTCCTTCCCTGGCAGCCCATATCAATGCCATCCATCCACCCTCCTGAAATAATACAACTCACATCAAAACTTGTCTGATAAATTGGACAACGTTGAGTAATAAATATAAACAAAATATATATCACATGAATCAGTGATCAAAACTGAATAAAATGACCAGCCACACTTGTATTTATATTGTACATAAACAACAAATAAACAACATGTTTTTTGTGAGATGTACAAACTTCCATCAGAACTGTCATGTAAAAACAATTTTAAGAAATGAGAAACATATTTACATCAATGTATTCGTTACAACTCTCTGAGTAAAATGACATCTCACTGTATATAATTCTAGCAAGTATTTGTTGATATAATGATTAAATCTTGAGTAAAATGACATCTCACTCTATATAATCCTAACAAGTATTTGTTGATATTATGATTAAATCTCTGCGTAAAATGACATCTCACTCTATAATCCTAACAAGTATTTGTTGATATTATGATTAAATCTCTGAGTAAAATGACATCTCACTTTATACAATCCTAACAAGTATTTGTTGATATAATGATTAAATCTCTGAGTAAAATGACATCTCACTCTATATAATCCTAACAAGTATTTGTTTATATTATGATTAAATCTCTGAGTAAAATGACATCTCACTCTATATAATCCTAACAAGTATTTGTTGATATTATGATTAAATCTCTGAGTAAAATGACATCTCACTTTACATAATCCTAACAAGTATTTGTTGATATTATGATTTAATCTCTGAGTAAAATGACATCTCACTTTATATAATCCTAACAAGTATTTGTTGATATAATGATTAAATCTCTGAGTAAAATGACATCTCACTTTATATAATTCTAACAAGTATTTGTTGATATAATGATTAAATCTGTCTGATTAACATGATTCAGAATAATGATCATTTTTTTTAAAAAGTAACTTTTTCAAAGAAATATGAAAAAAGTTACACTTCCTAATTTAGTTGAGAAGACAAACAAAATGAGAGTCCACTTTATATAATTCTGACAAATATTTATTGTCCATTAAACCTGTCTAATTAACAACATAATTTTGTGTTGATTAAGGAATGTGATCAGAGTGAAGAATTAACATACATCTGTGATATCTGTGTTACACCGGCTGTCTAGGAGTGATCGAGTAATCTCCAGGTGTCCTTCCTCGGCAGCCCACATTAGTGCTGTCATTCCACCATCCTGGAATAGTACAACTGACATCAAAATTGGTCTGATAAACCAAACAATGTTGTGTAATGAATATAAACAAAATATATATCACATGAATCAGTGGACCAAAATGAATAAAATGACAAGTCACACTTGTATTTATATTGTACATAAACAACAAATAAACACCATGTTTTGTTGTGAAATGTCAAAACTTCCATCAGAACTGTCATGTTAAAAAAAATGTTTGTAAGAAATCAATAAAATATTTACATCAATGGATTCATTACAACTCTGTTAGTAAAACTAACAAGTATTTGTTGATATAATGATTAAATCTCTGAGTAAAATGACATCTCACTTTATATAATCCTAACAAGTATTTGTTGATATAATGATTAAATCTCTTTGTAAAATGACATCTCACTTTATATAATTCTAGCAAGTATTTGTTGATATAATGATTAAATCTGTCTGATTAACATGATTCAGAATAATGATCAATTTTTTAAAAAGTAACTTTTTCAAAGAAATAGGAAAAATAGTTACATTTTCTGATTAGGTACGAGGAGACAAACAAAATGAGACCCCACTTTAATATAATTCTGACAAATATTTGTTGTCCATTAAACCTGTCTTATTAACAATATAATTTTCAATAAGATGAAGGAATGTGATCAGAGAGTGAAGAGATAACATACATTATGCTCTGAAGTAAAAATTGTAGTTGTGTGTTTTATACTGCTTATGTACAATCTGTTATGTTCTGAAGAAACTTGCAGTTTGTGTTTTATACTGCTTATGTACAATATGCTGTGTTCTGAAGTTACTTGTAGTTGTGTATTTTATTCTGCTAATGTACAATCTGTTATGTTCTGAAGTAACTTGTAGTTGCGTGTTTTATACTGCTTATGTACAATCTGTTATGTTCTTAAGTAATTTGTAGTTGTGTGTTTTATACTGTTCATGTACAATCTGTTATGTTCTGAAGTAACTTGTAGTTGCGTGTTTTATACTGCTAATGTACAATCTGTTATGTTCTGAAGTAATTTGTAGTTGTGTGTTTTATACTGTTTATGTATAATCTGTTATGTTCTGAAGTAACTTGTAGTTTGTGTTTTTTACTGCTAATGTACAATCTGTTATGTTTTGAAGTAACTTAAAGTTTTGTGTTTTATTCTGCTAATGTACAATCTGTTATATTCTGAAGTAACTTAAAGTTGTGTGCTTTATACTGCTGATGTACAATCTGTTATGTTCTGAAGTAACTTGCTGTTGTGTGTTTTATACTGCTGATGTACAATCTGTTATGTTCTGAAGTAACTTGCAGTTGTGTGTTTTATACTGCTGGTGTACAATCTGTTATGTCCTGAAGTAACTTAAAGTTGTGTGTTTTATTCTATTTATGTACAATCTGTTATGTTTTGAAGTAACTTGTGGTTGTGTGTTTTATACTGCTGATGTACAATCTGTTATATTCTGAAGTAACTTGCAGTTGTGTGTTTTATACTGCTGGTGTACAATCTGTTATGTTCTGAAGTAACTTAAAGCTGTGTGCTTTATACTGCTAATGTACAATCTGTTATGTTCTGAAGTAACTTGCAGTTGTGTGTTTTATACTGCTGGTGTACAATCTGTTATGTCCTGAAGTAACTTAAAGTTGTGTATTTTATTCTGTTAATGTACAATCTGTTATGATTTGAAGTAACTTTTTTTTGTATGGTTTATACTTCTGGTGTACAAGCTGTTTTTATTGTTATGTTCTGAAGTAACTTGTAGTTGTGTGTTTTATACTGCTTATGTACAATCTGTTTTGTTCTGAAGTAAATTCTTGTCGTGTGTTTTTAACTACTTATGTACAATCTGTTATGTTCTAAAGTAAATTGTTGTCGTGTGTTTATGTACAATATCCTGTATTTTGAAGTAACTTCCAGTTGTGTGTTTTATAGTATTTATGTACATTAATAAATATTTTGAAGTAACTTGTAGTTTTACACTGTTTTACTGTGCTTTATTTTTAAGTAAATTGTAGTTTTGTGTCTTTTATTGTACATGTACCATAAGACGACGTATCTTAAAATTATTTTTCTATGAAGTATAAAAATAAGGTAGTTTTGAATGTGGCTATTTTACTTACACCTTGATAATCAATCTCTGCATCATTCTGTAGACATAATCTTAAGTCTTCTAAATCTCCAGTCTGAGCAGCTGCAATAAGTTTCTGTAAGTAAAACATAGAAATTACATTTAATAGATTGTAATGAATGTCTTTACTGTTAAATCAGGTAATAATTATGTATTCATCTGTATAACAATGATTCAGTGGTTCAAATCAATATTTTTCCCTGAAAACTCCTGGACCATTACAACAGTAAAGTGGAAGGTCCACACCTTAGGATGAAAGGTCCAAACATTGACTTTTGATTGGATCAATTTTAAGATTTTGTGTCCCTCTCACTAAAGCACTATGCCTATCAGAGTGGGTTGGGTATTTTATCCAATATTTACAGGTTATGGTTCAAGAATCTTCTCCAAATTTGAACCAAGGGCGAACTTTCTGCCAATGAGACTGGAATTTCGCTTACGTTTCTCGCGATCATATCTTTTATCCTTGTTTAAATTCTCATTGCTTCTTGGTCGGACTTCTTTAGTTTAGGTACACCCAAAGTAGTCAGAATTTCGTCTGCCTCGCCCGTTTTTTTCTTAGAAGACGTGATGCCAAAGCGAAACAAAATCATGGATTTTGCAACGTTGACAACCACATGCGTTAATATGACGAACCCGAACCTCGACGAAAGCACCCATAGAAATTGTCATCTGTCACGCTGTACTATTAATAAACCTGGAAGTAGATTACTAAGTTAAAAATAAATTTAATCACAAAGCTAATTTATCGTGACTCATTACCATATCAATTTACAAGTTATAACAAAGTGTTTATACAGAAATTCAATATAAATATTTTCTAAAACTTGAAAATCGAAAGTCCATCGGGTGCAGCCAATAACCAAATTGGAAGAGTGACCGTAAATCTGATAGGTCACAGACCTCGGACCACCGCTAATTTGAACCCCTGCGCAATGACTACATAAATCAGTAGTATCCTTACTTCATATAACATTCAGACAGAGGGGAATTCCTTAAATAGCATGTAATTGTTGGAATATATTCATCTTCTATTATCAAGATAAACAAAAATTGTTACCCTTTAAAAAATAGAATCATGGATTGTCACCAGTGTTATGAGTAGAAGATAAGACGATCAAGTGTCACCCGTGTAATGAGTAGAAGATAAGACAAATAAGTGTCACCCGTGTTATGAGTAGAAGATAAGACGATCAAGCGTCACCCGTGTTATGAGTAGAAGATAAAACAATTTAGTGTCACCCATGTAATGAGTAGAAGATAAGACGATCAAGTGTCATCTTCGTAACGATATGAAGATAAGACAATTTAGTGTCACCCATGTAATGAGTAGAAGGGTAAGACGACCAAGTGTCATCCGTGTAATGAGTAGAAGATAAGACAAGTGAGTGTCACCCGTGTTATGAGTAGAAGATAAGACAAGTAAGTGTCACCCGTGTTATTAGTAGAAGATAAGACGATCAAGTGTCACCCGTGTAATGAGTAGAAGATAAGACGATTAAGTGTCACCCCTGTAATGAGTAGAAGATAAGATTATCAAGTGTCACCCGTGTAATGAGTAGAAGATAAGACGATCAAGTGTCACCCTCGTAATGAGTAGAAGATAGGACAAGCAAGTGTCACCCGTGATATGAGTAGAAGATAAGACAATCAAGTGTCACCCGTGTTATGAGTAGAACATAAGACAATTAAGTGTTACCTGTGTAACGAGTAGAAGATAAGACAATCGTCACCCATGTAATGAGTAGAAGTTAAGACAATCAAGTGTCACCAGTGTAATGAGTAGAAGATAAAGACAATCAAGATAAGAAGATTAAGTGTCAACCCTGTAATTCCTAGATGGATAACACAATTAAGACGATCTCTGATATTAGTTATTAGCAACACCTTAGTTTGTCAAATGTTTTGATTGCACCTTGCTTTGTCCCAGTTTTGTATTTTTTGTTTGTTCTGTGTTCTTGGAATAAGTAGTTTTGTAGTTCACCTAGTATTCTACTAATTTTTATCTGAAATTATCACATACTTGTATCTAATTGTACAATAATGGGGAACAAAACCACACATGACAAGGAGACTATTAAGTAAATCTTACCTCATTCCAATCCTCCATTATATCCTAAAAATAGAAAAGAAAAGTTATATTCAATATATACTGTTGAGTTATCATTGAGGAACATGTATAATAGTTACTGCCAGTTAAAAATACATGATCATTATTCGATGTAAAATACTGACCTTATATTTTTAGATACTAATTTCATTCAAATAATAATAGCATTGAAACAGTCGTTTATCTCAACTTTTCTGCACTATTTGAGGTTAATGAACTGAACTAAAAACCTTTAAGATCTGATCACATACCTAAATGAGGTACAAATGTATTCTACAAGCAGGATGTGACTCTTTCCATCGAACACCAGAACATCTTTTGCACTTTCCCAGACCTAAGAATTTCAAAAGTTTTTTTTTACCAGTTTTAAGACACACATAAAAACAATTTCAAATATCAAGTAACAGTTTCTTAAAACACTGTCCATAATCAACTAGAACTGTCAAATTAAATTCAATTGTTTTTTTTTATTCTTTATGTGCCTGTCCACAGTCAGGACCTATAAAGTAGTGGATGTAGTTAGAAGTTGTGTACCATATTTATTTTTCCTTCATTGTTGTTTTCGGCTGTGGATTTTTTCTTTTGAAATGTTTCAAATTTTATCATACCAAGGCTATTTATAGATGATTATATAGCATGGATTTTGCTCATTATTGTAGGCTGTTGAACGACCTGTAATTGTTTATAACTGTGTCCTATGGTCTACGAATAATTGTATCATTGTTAATCATACCACATCTCCTTATTATCATATGGTATAGGTTTTGCTCATTGTTGAAGGCTGTTGGACAACCTGTAACTGTTTATATCTTTGTCCTTTGGTCTAGGAATAATTGTATCATTGTTAATCATACCACATCTCCTAATTATTATATGGTATAGGTTTTGCTCATTGTTGAAGGTAGTTGGACGACCTGGTATTGTTTATATCTTTGTCCTTTGGTCTAAACATAATGGTATCATTGTAAATCATACCACACCTCCTTATTATCATATGGTATGGATTTTGCTCATTGTTGAAGGCTGTTGGACTACCTGTAACTGTTTTTAACTGTGTCCTATGGTTTAGGAATAATGGTATCATTGTTAATCATACCAAACCTCCTTATTATCATATGGTATGGGTTTTGCTCATTGTTGAAAGCTGTTGGACAGCCTGTAATTGTTTATATATTTGTCCTATGGTCTAGGAATATTGGTATCATTGTTAATCATACCACACCTCCTTATTTTTATACAACAAGAGTGGACACACAGAAATGTCTCGCCTGTCATGTACATGTATTTCTAATTGAAGTTATGTTGAAAGTAAATGCTATCATCTAAACTATCTATCTATCAGACATACATTATAAATTTTAAGCTGTAAATTATGGGATAATGTCGCTGATGCTGATTCCTGTATGAATGCTAAAGTTGCTGCCAGGCCTGCTGAAGACAACTATCATAGTGTCTTCATACTACTAATTGTATAGGTTATTATCCGCTATATGAAGATATGCTGGATAACTGTGGTTAAGAGTGAAATAACTTAGTGATAAACCATTGATATTGATTATTGTGATTAAAGATGGCAGTGAAGAATGAAAAAAACTAACATTGACCTATGAACCATGAAAATAAGGTCAAGATCATATGAACCCTGCCAGACAGACAGATACGCCTTACAATCATTCCATACACCAAATATAGTTGACCTATTGCTTATATTTTCTAAGAAACAAAGTTCAGCATTAAAACTTAACATTGACTAATGAGCCATGTAAAAGGGGTTATGGTCATATGAAACCTGACAGACAGACATAAACACCTTATAAACATTCCATACACCAAATATAGTTGACCTATTGTTTTTGAACAAAAATAGACCAAAACACCAAATTTTAACACTAAGCAATGAACCGTGAAAATCAGGTCAAGGTCAAATTAAACATGCCAGACTGACATGTACATCGTAAAATATTTTCATACACCAAATATAGTTGATTTATTTTATACAGTATAAGAGAAACAGACCAAAACACAAAAACTTAACTTTAACCAATGAATAGATATAAGAAGATGTGGTATGAGTGCCAATGAGACAACTCTCCATCCAAGTCAAAATTTATAAAAGTAAACCATTATAGGTCACAGTACGGTCTTCAACACGGAGCCTTGGCTCACACCAAACAGTAGGCTATAAAGGGTCCCAAAAAAAAATACTAGTGTAAAACCATTCAAACGGGAAAACCAACGGTCTAATCTATATAAAAACGAGAAACGAGAAACACTTATGAACCACATCAACAAACAACTACCGAACATCAGATTCCTGACTTAGGACAGGTGCAAAAAAATGCAGCGGGTTTAAACGTTTTAATGGTACCAAACCTTCACCCTTTTTTCTGAAACAATAGTGTTACATCACAACATAGAAAGACACACTATAAAATATCAACTGAAATAGCTTAACTCAATCAAAGGACATATTAACACCATTGAACATACACTGAACAAATAAATTTGACCTATGACACAATGTAAATACAAAATAAATAAACTAAGGGAAGAATAATAAAAGTAACATGTTATATCGGTAAGAAATGTTAAACAATTAAAGAAAAACAATATGCTCAAACAAAAATATCAGCCATTTGCAATTACCTTAAACACAGGTAAATGAAAATAATTTTGTTGTTAGGTATACGTGTACAGTACCAATAGAGAAAGGAAATATTTTTACAAAATAAATAATTTTGATGTTCATAATACGAAGTGAAAATTTATAGTTATACCAAACACTTATCAAAGCTGGTATATAGACCAGATATAACCCTGAATAACATTAAATAACAAAAAAGCTATACAATTAGTATCAACAGGTCAAATAAACAAGAAAGTACGATTTGAGAGTACTCGCAGTTACTGACAGCTAGTTAAAAGCCAAAACAATTAATAATAAAAAATCATACATCTGATACTAAAATCAACTAAAACACATCCCAGGGATTAAGTATTTTAACGTCATGGACAGACAAAGAAGACATGACTAGTGCAATGCCAAAAATAAATGTATCGACAGACAGTAGTATAGTTAGGAGTTTAACCTCTTTAAAGATCTAAACGAACGTGGGTGTGTCTTTATACATCCCACTTGAAAAAAATACAAATTTAGTTATGTTTTAATTTGCTGATGACAAAATCGATAATAGTGCCAATGTAAACTATATTCAAAGATCTAATTACAACATTGGTAAGATCACCTTTACTAATAAGTTTGTTTAAAGGTTCGATGAGTTTACACGGATCACATAGTGATTTCCGCGCTTTAAGTACAATATTACCGTAAAATTTAGGATGTGAAATACCGTTTTTAATCAGTTTTCTACAAGTACAGCCAAATTAACTAATCAAATCTTTGTATCTATGAAAGAACTTAGCAAATGTTTTACGTAATTTATGGTAACGAAATCCTTGATTTAATAATTTACCAGTGATGCATTGATTACGTTCGTTAAAATCTATGACATCACTACACACACGGGCATAACGAACGAGTTGGGATATATATACACCGTATGATGGAGCCAAAAGAACATCGCCGTCTAAAAAAGGAAAATTAACAATAGGGAATGAAAAATCGTCTCTTTTGTCGTAAATTTTCGTATGGAGTTTTCCTTTAGAGATTGAAATGTCCAAATCCAGAAAAGGACAACTACTGCTGTTTATGTTAGAATTAGTTAAAGTAAGTTCTATTGGGTAAATTTCGGTAGTATATTTAGAGAACTCTGGATTATTTAACGAAAAAATATCATCTAGATAACGGAAGGTATTGTTGAATGTATCAACCAAATGTAACAATGACGTGTCTTTACTGAGTTTGGTCATAAACTGAGATTCATAGCAATACAGGAATAAATCTGCTATTAAAGGGGCGCAGTTAGTGCCCATAGGAATACCTAATACTTGTCGATCCACTCTATCGCCGAAACGTACATATATTCCAGTAAGTGTATCTAGCATACTTTCCTTTTTCGTTACAGAAAAAGGCTTTAAACGAGTTACAGCAAATAAATTTGTAATGAGATTTTTCAAAAGACCATTTAATTAAATATGAAAACCTTTTCTTGATAAGATTGTGTGGAAGTGTAGTATAGAGAGTAGAAAAATCATAACTGTCAACAGAATTGAAAGGACCATCAAAAGCATGTATTTTATCTAAAACCTCTAAAGAATTTTTAACACTCCAAAAATAATTAATACCATTATTTTCATAAGCTTTATTACAAAAGTTAATAACAAGTTCTTTGATAGTAGTAAGGGAGGTAGTTAGAAGCACTGATAGATTAGTAGTAGAACACCATGAAAATGAGGTAAAGGCAGATGACACCTGCCAGTTGGACAGGTACACCTCACACTCATTCCATACAACAAATATAGTAGACTTATTGCATACAGTACAAGAAAAACAGACCAAAACACAAAAACTTAACTATAACCACTGAACCATGAAAATGAGGTAAAGGTCAGATGACACCTGCCAGTTGGACATGTACACCTTACAATCATTTCATAATCCAAGTATAGTAGACATATTGCTTATAGTATCTGAGATATGGACTTGACCACCAAAACTTAACCTTGTTCACTGATCCATGAAATGAGGTTGAAGTCAAGAGAAAACTGTTTGACGGGCATGAGGACCTTGCAAGGTACACACATACCAAATATAGTTATCCTATTACTAGTAAGAAGAGAGAAATTAAGAATACTAAAAATCTTTACTTTTTTTCAAGTGGTCACTGAACCATGAAAATGAGGTCAAGGTCGATGGACATATGACAGATGAAAACTTTATAACGTAAGGCATCTATATACAAAGTATGAAGGATCCAGGTATTCTACCTTCTGAAAAATTAAGCTTAAAAGACTTTAGCTAACACCGCCGCCGGATCACCATCCCTATGTCGTGCTTTCTGCAACAAAAGTTGCAGGCTCGACAATAAAATGATCTAATGATCACAGATACCCCCGCCTACTTAACATACTTGATGTACTTACAGGATCGAAGCTTGAAATTCTTTAGATTAGTAAGTTTAACAATTTGCATAAAAATATGTTAACTCCTCGACAATTTGAATTTTCAAGTGAAAGGCTCTCCTCAAGAAATTCAATGGTCCTGAAATAAGTCCTTACTTAACGGATTGTAAGCCATGGACCTTTGTTTTCCAAAATTCAAAGGTTCCCTCACAGAAATGAAAGGTCCCTGACCATTGGGCTCAAACTCATTTAAAACTATGAAAAGTAAAGTAAGAATAATGTAATGGTGTGTTATATTGTAATGATTATACATTATAATGTAATGGTGTGTTATACTGTAATGGTTATACATTATAATGTAATGGTGCGTTATATTGTAATGAATATACATTATAATGTAATGGTGTTATATTGAAATGGTTATACATTATAATGTAATGGTGTGTTATACTG